AAACCTTCCTGTACTGAATGTTGTGAATAGAGTTGACACCACCACCATTATCTTCACCATCATCATCACCACCATCATCACCACCACTGTCACCATCATCATCACCATCATCACCACCACCACTGTCACCATCATCATCACCATCATCATCACCACTGTCACCATCATCATCACCACCACCATCACCACCACTGTCACCATCATCACCAATATCACTACCACTGTCATCACCACCACCACTGTCACCATCATCATCACCATCATCATCACCACTGTCACCATCATCATCACCACCACCATCACCACCACTGTCACCGTCATCACCAATATCACTACCACTGTCATCACCACCACCACCACTGTCACTGTCATCCCACCACCACCATCATCACCACTGTCACCATCATCATCACCATCATCACCACCATCATCATCACTACTATCCACCAGGACCAGGACCAGCACCAGCACCGTCGTCTCCACCAGCAAGTATTCCATCCCCTCTTCTCCAGAGCTGAGCACTGTGTAACGCAAGATTCCTTTACTGTTTACTTCCATCGTCTGTCTCCCAAATCTCCGCCTCAGCACGACAAAGGTTCTGTCTAAGTTGGCTGCAGGCTCTAGGCACTCTCCAGGGTGGTCATCCTGAGGGTGTTGGCTCCAGGTGGCATCTGCAAAGGCGCCTCCATGTTGTTCTACACTTTGGGGTCTGGAGCATCTGACATGAGCAGTAAATGTTCTGGCCCCAAATAACACTGTCACTTCTCCCCCTGCCCAGGAAGGAGGGCAAGGCGACATGGGTGTCGACGGGTCTGTACGGCTGTACCTGCCCCCCACCGTGTGATGTCCTTACGGGACTGTACACGCCCCATGTGTAGCACCTGGTCCTGGGAGACCGCCTGCCGGTCTCTGTCATGGGACTGGCGTGTGCAGCCGTGTGTTCAGGTCAGGCTCTGTGCTTGGTTCTATGGAACTCCCTCAAGTTTGCCCTCCGGCTGCATCACAGTCATGTGCTCAGTCACGTACTCCCCATGACGATCCCAGCACCTGGGCAATGTGGGTCTGACTCCGTAGTGGGCTGTTTCCTCTGATTTAGGGGGGCCCTGCTGACTTCCTTGTGTGTCGGTGCGCTTTGATTGTGAGTTCATGTTCCAGTGGGGTTCTGTGAGTCCTGAATCCACAGGAGGGTCTCCAGGGAGGACTTGTGCTCATGTCTTCCGGGTGCCTCAGGGCGTCACCAGCCCAGGAATTTTCAAGCAAAACTTTTAACGAGGGGTGTTCAGATCTCATGCCTGTGTGAGCACGGGCTGACATTCAGGAATTTTCAGGGACCATTTTTTTCTCCTCTGCAGAGCCCAGTGTAAGGGAGGCCGTGCCCTTGTAGGCCAGCTGTTTGCTCGCTCCCACACTGGGGGGGGGGGGGGGGGGCGTGCCGTGAGATGAGAGCCTCGGACATCCCAGGCCAGCAGGGCATCCAGGGTGGGGTCTGGCTCCTGCGCGTACCACTTACCCAGTGGCTGCTTGCTGTTTTGGCCTTGGAGGAATTCCGTACCTTCTACCACTTCATCAGGGTGTTATCTTTTTAAAAGGGCGTCTCGTTTTGTCTGGTATCTTACGTGCTCAGTGTCAGGACTCCTGCAAAACAGATGAAGAGAGTGGAGTCCCTGCTCATGCAGCAAGAATTTGCTGTGTCTGCCATGTGCCCAAGCAGTGCTGTGTGGCTGTCACCACATGGATGTCCTTCACCCCATAGCCATTCGCTGGGAGCCTGCAAGGCCAGCTCCTAGGGGCGGGGGTGTCCGTGAGCAGACAGACCCAGCACGGGGCCTCGCTGGAGTGCAGGGCTGTGCACACAGGGCTCGGCTCCTCCTGGGCTCCCTGAGGAGCTTGCCTGGTACCCCTCCCTGGGGAGCGCTGTCATGAAGCATCTCTGAGGGGAGCCCCAAGATTACATGCCCAGAACATGCTGCAGAAAAGTGCCTCCTCTCAGGGCCGCTGCCAGTCTGTTTAGCAGCACTTCCAGGCGTGAGCGCGTTTAAGGCCCTCGCTGGGCCTTCACCCCCTCCTTTAGCAAATGGTCACAGGCAGCTGCTTTCACTCCTTCCTCCCCAGGCCGAGGGTCAGCGTGGCCTTTGGGGATCTGAGTCTGTTCTGGAGAGAGGAATGGGGCGGAGGAGGGGAGTGTTCGCAGAGGATGGAGGAAGGCCTGTCAGGGAGTGGGGGGATGGGGCAGGGGCCTGGCGACCAAAGGGACTTGCTGTGTCAAGGGGGAGCTGAACCCCCTGTTCCTGAGAGGCTAGCAATATGGCCCCTGGGTCCTTGAAGGCGTGGAGGGGGAGCCTGCCTAGGGCGAGAGGAGCCCTCTCCAGGCCCGTAGCTGCAGGATGGGTGAGGGAGAGGGACCTGCGGGAATCCAAGCGGGAGGAATAATGGTCTGAAAGTGTCTCCATCTCCCGCCGTCCTCTGAGGGCCCAGCCCAGCCTCCACTCCGCTCACTGGGGAGTCCCTGAGGGATCCTTGCTGGTAGCACAAGGTTTTGAACCCCCAACCTCAGACAAGGGCCAGGGCAGGTAAGCAGTGAGGTGGGGCCCTGGTGCTCAGTGGCCTGGGGAGGGGATTGCAGATGTGCAGGCCACCAATGTCAGGAAACAGATAGTCTTTATTCAAGTGCACAGATCAGTCATGTGACAATGCCAGGTGCGGTGTCCCAGCCTGCCCCCCTTTCTTCATCTCCCCTAGCATCACTGCTGGGATGCCAGGAGCAGCCAGTGCCCGGGGCAGCCTTGCTCGGAGGAGCAGGCATGAGTTCAGGGCTCCTGTGCCAGCGGCCGCCTGGGCACCAGGACCGAGGTGTTTCACAGGCAGCACGTGAGGCTCGGCCCCTGGCCTGGGGTGGGCGGCTGTCCTGCAGGGCACCCGGCCAGGCATTGTGCACACGTCCTCTGCACGGAGGAACATGGCGCAGGGTGGTACACACACCGGACGTGAGCTAGAGCAGACGTGTGAGTCTCCACAAGAACGGACCTTAGGGTGTGGGGGCCACGAGGGAGAACTTGCAGAAAGGAGACGCCTGTTCCCGACGTCCCCTCCGGCCGCGGGCACGTCTGTGCAGAGCGGTCGGTCAGCAGTGCGGCTCCGAGGTGATGAAGCTGCGCTCGGCCTGCTCGCTGCGTGGTCCCAACCAAGCGACTGGGCCCGCCAGCCACGGGTCAGGGCTCACACACAGTTGTCAGGGACGCACTCCGCCTCCTCTGCAAGCTCGGGGCAGGGCGCCCCCTGGTTGGCAGGCTGCACACGGACATAGCGAGTCCTGGTCTTGGCTCCCAGCTCCCGCACAGAC